TTGTCCCTTTGCTTTCAGTATACCACAAATTATCGCACACTGTGCCTGGAAAGTGGATTTGTTGATTATATCGCCTGGTTTTAGCCACTTTAGCTGAACTTATCCTTACATAAAGAACTAATGAATGATTTTAAAAGACTTAGGATCATACTACTAACAATATAAGCACAAATTAATTTTTTAAATAAGCAGAGTTGACTCTGTCTCTATTACTAGGAAAATTTTTTTGCTAGATTAACAAGGAAGACAAAAAACAACCTAACTAGTTTGACAACTCAATTGCTCTCACCAAAAATATTACTGATATTTTTAGTGAGAACAAGTAATTTTTGCACAATTAAAAAATAAAAATTGTTTTTAAAATATTGTTTACTTCATCTTCAGCTCATCTTTTTAATTTCAGTTTTTGAAACTTTAACGTGTACAATATATTAGCAAAAAAGAATAATGCATGTCATCCTTAAAAATCAGTAGGCATGTATCTTAGTTTGAAGTCTGAGCTCTGCCAATCATTAGCTGTGTGTGTAATCATGGGCTAGTCTCTGGATCTCAGTTTTCCCATCTGTAAAATGTGGGTAATACTTCCTACCTCACAGATTTTGTTGAGAAGATTTGTTTTAAGAATGTTTGGTACATCTTAGGGACCTCAGAGTTTTGATTCCCGTCCCCACGAAGAAAGAGTTCTATACTGGGATGTGGGTACTGGATCAAACGGGAAACTCTTTTGATCAGGAGCCTTTAATGTGACAATGCTGGCAGAGGTACACCTCCTCCATTTGTGCAGACACCCTGACAACGTGCTAAAGGATGCCAGCGAGCCTCAGTGGCTACTCAGGGCAACTCTTTATGGAACTGTATCTGCTTTCAGCAGATGGTTGTGCTTAGCAAGGAATGATCACATTTATGAAACAAATATTCATAGACAAGTAGACATGAATCCAACACACACAAAGAATCTAAATTAAATACCTCACTGTAAGCTTATCAATACACGTACATATCACTGTAATTACCATTTGTAATCAAAGGGCAGCACTTACTTTTAGTTAATGATGCTTGAGGATATCTTTAAAAGCTCTGGATTTTTAATTTTTGAGTTTTGGGCATTTTTTTTTTTTNCATGAATCCAACACACACAAAGAATCTAAATTAAATACCTCACTGTAAGCTTATCAATACACGTACATATCACTGTAATTACCATTTGTAATCAAAGGGCAGCACTTACTTTTAGTTAATGATGCTTGAGGATATCTTTAAAAGCTCTGGATTTTTAATTTTTGAGTTTTGGGCATTTTTTTTTTTTGGCTGGCTGGTACAGGGATTAAAACCTGGACTTTGGTGACATCGGCACCACGCTCCAACCAACTGAGCTAAACAGCCAGCCCTGTTGTTTTGTGTACAAAGATTTTAGATACTCATTTAAAATCCGAGCAGTTATTAGATAAACAAGACCTTGAATTACAAGTTCATATAATCAGATTCAGGTATGAATTTGGATATGTGCTATCTACAATGCAAGCATATTTCTTCAATAACTGCCTAATCTGGATTTAATCATAAGAAAACTTTACACCAAAGCCATATTGAGGGACACTTAACAAAATAACTGGCCTATACTCTTCAAAACTGTCAGGGTCATAAAAGGGAATGGCTGTCTTAAGTACAATTTCAGAGTAAAGGAAATTAAACAGGCAGGACAACTGAAAGCCATGCGTGATCTTGGAGTGGCTCCTGGGACAACTGATGAAATCTAAATATCTCTCGATTCGATAATAGCATTTTCTCAATGTTAATTTTCTAATTTTGAATATGTCTGCAATTTAATCTCAGAAAAAATATAATGTGTATGTGGATACAGAAAGACAGAAAAGTACAAATGTGGTAAAATGTTAACATTTGGGTAATCTGAATGCATCTGGAATATTTTGTACTGTTTGCAACTTTTCTGTAAATCTGAAACAATTTTTGAAATCCACTCACCAACAATTCTCCTGCAATTCTAAATAATCACAAAACTGCATATCCACACATCTCTCAGCAGTCTATTTTCTGCCTTCCTGTTTTATTCACAAAGCATTAAGAATCCTAATCCCCATTTTCCTCCTAGTACTCTAGCCAAGTTTATTACTTACTTCCCTGACACGTAATCTTTTCTTTCCTTTTTCTGTCACTCACAGAAGTGAAAACTCCCTGTGATTTCTAAGAGACTCTGTATAAAACAAAGCATTAATGTTTCTCCACTTAAGGTTGGTTGTCTACAGGGAGATGAATTCTAAGAAGATTTGGGTTTTCTTGTTCCATTAGTCCCCCCCCCAGACATAAATCCAACTGTATGAGGAAAGAATTTGTTCCTAGATAAGTAGAAAAACTAATTTTTAAATCATGACAAATAATAAAAGAAGAAATAGGGGGAAAAAAGAAGCCAATAGCACCACTGATCTAGCTCCAAGAACGTGGGGGCTCTGAACCAAGGAAATCTGAGTTGGGGTTTGGAGCCTCTCCCCAGGCTCAGACAATCCCTAAACATTAGCAGGAACATTCCAGGAAGGCCCTCTGCCCCCATCAGAGTGAACTTGGTGTCCTCTGTTCTTGTTTCCTCCATCCTTTTATGTCTTCCCTGTTTTGACTATTATTACAGCAAGTTTCCCCTGGGATATAATGAGATGGCCCATACAAAAAGACACACTTGCCACGTGAACATGAAGTATAAAATATGTCTTCCCTGTTTTGACTATTATTACAGCAAGTTTCCCCTGGGATATAATGAGATGGCCCACACAAAAAGACACACTTGCCATGTGAACATGAAGTATAAAATGAAGTAAAGTGAAAACCAATGGAATCCTCTTACCTTCAAGTAGCAGTGGTTGTGTGAAACAGGTTGCACGTCTGCGCCAGGTCCCTGAGGGGTTGAGGCTACCTCAGTGCATGCAGAATATATAGGGAGAGATCATATATCTGGGTTTTTCATTACACAAGGTGTTTTTGACAGGCCCTCAGCCAAGATCCACTTAAAAACAAAAGCTACACAAAGACTACAAAAAGGCCACACAAACTTTAAACAAAAGACTAAAGAAAGACCAAACAAAAGCCAAAGAAAGTTTAAACAAAGAGTGAAACAAAGACAAAACAAAGGCCAAACAAAGACAAAAACAAAGAGCAAAAGAAAATCTAAACAAAAGCTAGGCTAAGCTGCAACCATTTCTAACACACACACACACACACACACACACACACACACACACACACACCCTATATCCACAGTATAGCCTCCCACACAGTCACATATTCCAGCCTCCCACCTCCCACATCCCAAATCGACACCCCATGTGAAAACTCACCCCTTATCAGGGCCCATTTCACATGAACTCTACCCCACATCAAACCACTTGCCAGGTTCAACCACACCACACCCCCTTCCGCCAACACGCCATGCCATCCCAGCCACCATACTTCACCCCACACATCACAAGCTATACCCATAAGCCACCAACAGAGTTGGAGTCACACTGACAAATTCCTACCTGGGGACTCCTGTTTTCAAATTCTGTGCAGATTCAATATCCATCCACACTCCTCTTCCTAAAACACCCATAAACATGCACACTACCCAAGAGTAGCATTCACACAATCATGCCCTTGCACGCTTAATTTAACAAGAGTCTAATCCAGTCTAGTCACAACTAAGATTGAATTTGGAACATTCCATGGCAATTACCCTATGCATTTAAATTTATTCATTATACTCTTCCTCTTGAATTTTATATTTCATTTTGACAATCATATTTTTTAATTCCAAAACCTCATTCATGTTTGTGGACTTTTCCATTTTCAAAGCACATAGTTTTTCCTCTAAACTCTAGAAAAATAATAATTACATTCTTTGGGGGTGTGTTTGCTTAGTTTTGGTTTAGTTTGTTTGTTTCTTTGTCAGTTTTGCTCCTTGCATTGAGTGAGTTTTCTGACTCCAGGTTTCTTCATTCTGGTTATTTGTTTTCATCTCTCCCCTTCTTATTGAAAGTTTTCCCCTTTAGGGACTTTTCACTGTCCAGTAATTAGTAGTTAGGCATTCAAGAGGTGGCTGGATGTTCACTGGTACAAGCATGGGGTTCATCGATGGGGTATAGTGGGCACCATACTGGCCTTTACATTGGTGGACCTCAAAATATATTCAGCTTGAAGATTTTCCCCTAAGGGCACTCAGTTTCTTCAGGGAAGAGCAATCTATTTTCCAGCCTGGCAGAGGTAGGGAAGGTAGGAGAGTTGAACAAGGAACATGAATGACCCACATTAGTGGGTGGACTTGCTCCTTCTATAAGCCCTGCCCATCACCTCTGCTCTTCACCATTCCTGAGACCTGCAAGTTGGTGCAGTAAACCTGAGAATCCATTTGGAGTGTGCAGCTTCTCCGTGCCTTATCCCTGCTTTCCACTACACCTGGTAGCTCCAAGAGTGGAGACCCTCAGCGTCTCTCTTTTTTTATTCCCTCAGCATTTTGACCGATACTTTTGCTGTGCTTTTCTCTGGCACCGCTTCTGCAAGCCCTGAAATTGGAACTTCCTCCACGCTAAGTCATTTACCATCCTCCATCCATGTTCTGTCCCCTGAAAGTGTGTTATAATCTCTCATCTTTTGGTGTCTCCCTTTCTTTGTGGGTTAAAACTTTTTTTAAATGCCTATACTACCTTTTTGGAGTAAAATATTTTTTAATCCTTTACCTTTTAAAAATATTTTATTACTATAATTTTAGTAATTTTTTTTGAAGGGACAGTTGATAAAATAAGCATGTTTAGTTAACCTGCCATTTTTAACCAAAGGTCACAGAAATTGCTTTTACTGAGCTATAATTCATATACTATAAAATTTGTCATTTTAAACTGTAAGATTTAGAGGTATCCAATATATTCACAAGGCTGTGAAGCCATCAACACTACCTAATTCTATCACATTTTCATCACTCTAACAAGGAATGCTGTACTCACTAGCAGTCAGACACAGTACTATTTTATATTAGCACATAGAGAAAATCAAGAAGGGCGAAAGGATATGGCAAATATTTTGTTGCAGAGATTATTGAAAATTAGCATCAAATGAGTGAATTATCTACAGAAGAGAGTTACCTTAAGAAAAGAGATGTGCATGTCACTGGTTAGATAAGGACATCTCCCGTATTTCACCTAAAAATTTAAATGTACATAAAGTCATATTCACAATTAGGTAATTGTTAACCTAACAAAATTATGTACCAAAATCTGTGTTATAAAAGTTGTTTTTTGATTAAAAAGGTAAAATATAGGCCAGAGATTTTCAGATTCACAAAGCTATTTTTCCCGATTTAAATGTACATAAAGTCATATTCACAATTAGGTAATTGTTAACCTAACAAAATTATGTATCAAAATCTGTGTTATAAAAGTTGTTTTTTGATTAAAAAGGTAAAATATAGGCCAGAGATTTTCAGATTCACAAAGCTATTTTTCCCATATAAATATGAAAAAAAGGGTTGCTTTGTTTTATAAATACTTATAAGACCATTTAATTTTTGGAAGGTAAATAATAATGAATTGGTTGATCAAATCAGAGAGAAACAAACCTAAATGGTTTCTCATTTGCCCTTTGATTCTTACTTTCAGTGTAAATCTGTCTCAGCTAAGATTTTGACCTTGACCTTGGATTTTTAACTACACATTTCCCAACTTTCAATGGTAAATAGAGGAATATGATACCAACTGAGCCGTCAGCCATGCAGACAAAGGCTGTGTGTTCCCAAGCTCCTCATCCATTTCTCTCTCTCTCCCTCTGCTCTGCTAGGGCCCAGTCACAATTGTGTTCTGGCCCGTGGTGACCTGTGTAAGAATGTACATCATGTTCCCTAGTTAAAGGGACTGAGTTTTGTCCAATCTGCTGGATTAAAACTCACTCTGTAGGAGCCATACCTCTGCTGTTAAACCTCCTGCACCCAATCCATGTATTGCACCCCAAGTAATATTACCATTAGAGAAGGACAGTGTGGATGCAGGGTAGTAATATGAAAGGAATCCAACAAAAGGAGAGACACAGAATAAGAATGTGTCAGTGTGAGGTCAGCACATTGCAGTAAGGAGCCCTGATTATAATTACTGATATCAGTTATCCAGAGGCAAGAAATATGCACAGGGAAGTGGAACCCAACATTAATAGAAATCTGTAAAAAAAGAGAATTATTTTTTTCTTAATTCTGTGCTTAACAAGCAGCCAAGAATTTATCATTTTTTGATCTGGTGGTTTGTTAAGAAAGTGCCTTGAAAAAAATCACAGATCCCAAGGAACCTGTTGCCATTGTGAGTTAATAGATTGGAATTAATTATCAGGCTCTGTTTTTAAAAAAATGCCTATAACACTGCCTGGACACAATAAGATCTGTATAAATAGAAGCTACCTTCCCTAATTTATTGCTCCTTGATAAGCTAAAAATCTGTTTTTTGATCCTGCTGATCCGAAGTTCACAATAACATGTAGACGGCACATGTGGCTGAGCTGAGAACAGCCTGTTTTTAATGTAATTTTTTTTTTTACCCAAAGTTGCCATCAACCCTCTTCCATTTACTTTTAAGTTTTGCCTGTCAGCTCGTGGTGTAATTTTAGAAAAATCTGTATCCTGTTTTACAGTGTGATAGAACCAGTCCATTCCCGGTTCAGATGTTCTCTCTTAGTCCAAATTTGGCCAGGTCTGCACTGGAGAATTCACCCTTGAGTCCCAGAGAGAGAGCTATGTAGACTTTGTAAAGGAAAAGGGCTTTGTAAAGGAAAAATGTTAAATCATTCCTCAAAGATAGTTCACAGTTAATTATTTTACCAGCCAATAACTTTACCATAACTTTAAGGAAGGTAAAAGCTGGAAGCATGATAAACCACATTGTGATGGTTCATTTCATGTGACTTCACCTTGACTAGGCCATGGGATGCCCAGATAGCTCTTTAAATGTTGTTTCTGGGTGTTTCTGTGAGGGCGTTTTCTTTTTTTTTTTTTTGTCTTTTTTCATGTCCGGCAATGGATCGCAACCCTCAGTGTCGCGCCCGTACCGAACCGGGACCGGCAACAGGATCGCAACCCTCGGTGTTGCTCCCACACCTCGCTCAGCCAGTGAGCGGGAACCGGTCTGTATGTGGGATCCGAACCCTCAGCGGGAGCGCCGCCACACTCCCAAGCGGCGCACTGTAGCAGTGCGCCACCGGGCCGGCCCATGTGAGGGCGTTTTCAAAAGAGATTAGCATTGGAATCAATAGATTGAGTAGAGCAGACTGCTCTCCCCAATGTGGGTGGGTGTCATACAAATGTTGAGCCCCAGAACAGAATAAAAAAGCAGAAGGTTGGGTTAGCTCTCCCTCTGCCCGACTGCTTAAGCTGGGACATAGATCTTCTGCCCTTGGTTCTCCTGGTTCTCAGGACTTCAGACCCAGACTAGGTCTCCAGCTCTCAGGCCTGTGAACTACACTGCCAGCTCTCCTGGGTCTCCAGCTTGCAGGTGGCAAGTCATGGAACTTCTCAACTTCTATAATCACATGAGCCAATACCTTAAAGTGTATCTTTTCATATAGATATAGATATAGATAGAGATAGAGATATAGATATAGATATCCTGCTGGTTCCATTTCTCTTTGGAACCCTGACTAAAACACACAACTTAAGAAATCATTTAGCAACAAAGAGAATTTCACATGATAGTTGAAATAAACAGAAAAGCAATGTCTTTCTACTTTATAAAAAAGTAATGCTAGAATGAAATTCAGTCCTTGGTCAAACCAATATATTAAACATTTGTTATAACCAGCTGTTATTTTTAAGGAATTTTTGCTGTTAATCGCCACACTCCCAAGCGGCGCACTGTAGCAGTGCGCCACCGGGCCGACCCATGTGAGGGCGTTTTCAAAAGAGATTAGCATTGGAATCAATAGATTGAGTAGAGCA